GGGAGATTGGGAATTGGGAATTCCTGGCTGGGCTGGAATTGCCAGAGCAGCTGTGGCTGCCCCTGGATCCCTGGCAGTGCCCAAGGCCAGGCTGGGCACTGGGGCACCCTGGGACAGTGGGAGGTGTCCCTGCCATGGCAGGGGTGGCACTGGATGATCTTCAAGGTCCCTTCCCACCCAAACCACTCTGGGATTCTTTTTTATGATCTTCCAGCTGCAATTGTGGATAAATGAAATTTTTAAGGAATAAATCAAACCCTGCTGGTGGCAGACAGGGCCCAACCCAGGGACAATTTGCCAGCCCCACTTTTCCAGCTGCAGGAGAGGGTGGGGACATAAAAGTGCCACCAGGTGCCACCTTGGGCAGCATTTCCACCATGTCCCATCCCAAGGGATCAGAGCAGTGAGGACGGGGTCGTTTTCCACAGCTCCCTTTTCCTTCTGCAGTCCATAAAATCCTATTTAGAGCCCAAACCCCTTCCCAAACTCATCCATCTCCAAACCCTTGGAAAGCCTCTGAAAACATCCAAGATACTTCATGGAAGCCTGGCTGGCAGAGCTTTGCTGGCCACATTGGGATGCCCCAGAATTTCCTGTTCTGCTGGAGCTCAGCTTTATTTGTGTCTTTCTTCCTTGGTAATAAATCCCAAATAACTCTGGAAAAGGGGTTCATCCTGCAGGGATTAGATTGGGAATGGAAAAGAGCTAATTAAGGAGAAAGACGAGGCTGAGTGATGATCTCAGGTGCTGAGGGAGCAGCAGAAATTCATTATTCCCATTTTCCATCAGCTGGAGGATCCAACCCTGAGTCCTCTTTCCTTGATTTTCGATTTCTTTGCATCTGGGAATGGGAAAAGGAATTTTTCTGCCTTGGAAAGGCAATTTGGCAGCTCAGGAGTATGCTGGGTCTGCTCTGGAAATATCTGCCTAATTAAATATTTATACGCAAATATTGTATTAATAATGAAATAAAAATTGTTGTGAGGGAAGGAAACGTTCCCCATCCCAAATGGGACTGAGATTAATGAGCTAAAAACTCTTGGAATTTTAGGAAAGTCATTAGGAGAAGATGTTTGAACAGGTAGGGTGGCCAATCCCTGTGGGAATTTACCAACTTCATGGAATTGTCTTGTGAATGCAGATCAGGAGTGTGGTAAAACTCCCAAAGAGTGAAATCTTCCAGATTATAAAATTTTAATTATGAAAACTCATTAAAAAGGGATAACCAAGGAATCTGAGAAATCAAGTGGGGCAAATATCTGGATTTTAAAACAAATCTCTTATAAATCTCTGCTTAGGCAGGCTGGAATGATGAAGGAAAGCAGAATTTGCATTTAATATTAATATTATTTACATCCTTTTTTTCCCCTCCTATGATTGAAGATTTGAGTGGGAAAGGCTGATTAATATTCAGGACAAATATTACATAACCCAATCCATTCCCAGGCTGGTGCGTTTATCACTTTCTGAATGAATTCTTTCTCTGGAGATAAAAGTTGGGTTTAATTTGGGCTGTTTGTGGTGGGAGAAAGGAGAGCCTAAAAACAAGTTTTGAACAGGATCAATTTTTTTAAATTCTGGGCCATTTTCCCCCTTCTCTTCCAAAGATGTAATGACCTTAACAATTTGAAAATATCAAAATAATGGTTCTCCCATTTCTTTTATAATTTTCTTTTGCTTTCCAAAATGTTTTTTTTTTTCCACATTCCTGCCCAAAAGGATTTTCCCAGGATATGGCAGAGGTTGATGCTGCTAAACTGAGCTTAAATATAAAATTTATATAAAATAAATATAAATATCTCCACCTTCCTGTGGAGATATTTATTGCGACATTTATTTTATATATAAGTACAGAGATTGAGGCATTCCAGATGGATAATTCCCATGTTGTGGTTTTTAACCAATGGATCCTTCCCTGCTCCTTAATTCCTAGTCCAGAAACTTCCCAGAAAATTGTAAATCAGCAAAATCTATTCTCTAATCCTCATCTGATCGAGGCTGATTTCAGAATAACCCAGAGGCAAGGATGGCTTTGGGTGTAATTTATCCACATGGAGCCGGGCGGGTAAGAAAATAGGGAAATCACGGATGGCTGGACCAGGAAAGAGAAATCCCAGGAGCTTTTTGACATTTAGCAAGGTCAAGGACAGCGTGCGTTTGGTGACCCAGGGAGGTGATGAATATGCAAACCCTGGTGCCGTGGAAAATTTAGATGAGAACTAGATAATTTGAATTTTTTTCATAATTTTTTACTAAAATTATTATCATGGACAGGCCTTCCTGTCAGAAATTGCAAAAGACCCAGAGCACTCCAGAACCTGAATAAACAGAGATGTTATTGAGGGAGGCAAAATGAAATTATTTATATTGGGGGTTTTTGGGAATTGGTCTTGGAGAGGATAATCCTGAGGGCACGAGCAAAGAGTCTTCCAAACAAAAATGGTTTTGGAAGAAGAAAAAATGAGTGGAAAGAGATGTA